AGTGACTTGACTTCTGGGAATCCATTCTGCCGATAGCTTTGTGTTCACTTGTTGGGTGTGCAACAGTGGAACGAGAGGGAGCCTCAGTAGTTATCAGGACAGCGGACACACACCCGAGGGATGCAAAGCTTTCTTTTAGGAGCATGGATCATCCTATAGGTGCTAACAGGAGAAGACCTCCCTGACACTTCTGTGTGTTAGAAAGCAAGTCGGGGCAGTGCGTGCCACTACCTGTGTCTGTAGGAGGCTGTCCCTCTGTGTGGAGCACCACACCTCCCTTCGTGCTGGGCAGAGGAGCAGACCTGTGGGCACCCTGGTTGGGAAGCAGTGCGACCTCCAACCCTACCCTGGCTGGAGTGTAAGATGGGTCAGTCCCTGCAAGACTCCTGGCAGCTACTGGGGGCCCCCAGCTGGGTCAAGTGGGAAGGGGCGCATGGAGGGATGGCTTGCTGATGCAGGCAGGGCTTAGAGTGGGAGAAGCCTGGACAGTGGTGGTGGGGAGAACAACCCTCTAACAGTGCTATTGTGAGCTGAAGATAATGAAAAAGAAGAAGACACAAGAAAACCCCTCTGCCCTCCCCTGTCCCCAGGAAGGGCAGAAGGACCCTTAACACCCAGAGGTAAGGGAGGCCAGGTTGGACTAGAGACAGTGCCAGGAGACTGTAGCACAAACTTGCTGAGTAGTGTTTGTCTTCCATGGCCTCTCCCACAGAGTCCCTGAGAGTCCTGTTATAGGATGGACACGAGATAGCAAGACCCAAAGTCAATTAATATAGTGCCAATTAGGAAGTCTTTATTAAAGGAAAACCAAATGGCTGGCTGTTTCCCCAATATGGAGAGCAGACCAGAGCACTGGTAGAGTTCAGCTTATATAATGTGGGCTGATGCAATCTTGGGTGAGTATGGGTGATTAGAAAATTGCAGAGGCAGGTATTGTTTAAATGCTTACAGGGTATACAATAAAAATAATCACAGACATCCAGTCACATTGGTTTTAGTCATTCCTTCTAACAACAGCTTTCTAGCCACCATGTCTGGTTGGGCCTCTCAGTATGGTGGAGGTCGCGGAGGGCAAATTGGGGAAGTGCGGACCAGCTTCTGCAGCTCAGCCTTCTCAGCACCACCACCTCTGCTTCCCGTTTTTTCCTCTTCTGTCTCCTTTAACATTTCATTAAACAGTAAACAGTTTATTATGATTTCTTACACACTTATACTATACTTAATGTCTAATGCTTTCTAACATTTATCATTTATTAATCTTTTTGTTATTTATTTTCCCTACTTCTTTTTTTTTTTTATTTTACCTACTTCTAAACTATAGTTAAACCTTAGTAACTTCCCTAAACTACTGTTAAGCAGCCTCCCTACCCTCTCCTGCTATGGATTGTGTCTTGCTGATTTAGCAAGAATTTAAGGGTGAAACAAAAGGGAAGGCAACAAAGGGGGAGGGGGTGAGAGTGACAGGATTTTTAATCCATATCAGTCCCTTTGGGGTGTCTTGTCACTTCTCTAAAAGGGACCATTCCTTTGCTAAGGGCTTCATGAGCTCTAGCTGGAGCTGCTCCTCTCTGCTGGCCTGTGGGCAGGAGACCCAGGAGCAGGGGAGTCTGCTCTTCTCCTCTGTCTTTCCTCTGTTTGTCTACAGGGCCCCAGCCAATGAACCTGCCATGGGAGGGTGAAGAAGCTTCTCAGGTAGGAGAGCAAACCTCCCCCCACCCCCACTGGAGCAGCAGGGGAGGCAAGAGGCTGAACCCTCTGAGGACAGAGCCACAGCGCCAGGCAACCCCAAGGGATAGTGCCAGGGCTGACTGGCCTCAGCGTCCCCTCCCTCTAGTCTCCTGCAGGCCAGCCCTCCCTCCAGAGAGCTGATCACCCCTTGCCCCACACAGGGGTTGGGTGGATTGGAGTCTGTTTAGGGCAGGTAAGCACCTAGGCTACAGGGCAGCCAAGCCAGGCCATCGTCAGCGCCTGCAGCTAGAACAGGACACTGAGGGCTGGGCTGTGGGAGCTGTGAGTGAGCCACAGGGGCTAGGGAATAACCGGAGCAGAGTACTCTGGGCTGGGAACTGGGCAGGGTCTGAGGTGCATGGCAGAGAAAGCCTGGCTTTCCTTGCAGACCATTGGTAGAAATTTGTACATTGGGGTGGTGCCCATGGCTCAGTGAGTAGAGTGCCAGCCCCATATACTGAGGGTGGCAAGTTCAAACCCGGCCCTGGCCAAACTGCAACAACAACAACAACAAAATAGCTGGGCGTTGTGGTGGGCACCTATAGTCCCAGCTACTCGGGAGGCTGAGGCAAGAAAATCGCCTAAGCCCAGGAGTTGGAAGTTGCTTGAGCTGTGATGCCATGGCACTCTACCAAGGGCAATAAAGTGAGACTCTGTCTCTTAAAAAAAAGAAAAAAGAAAAAAAAGAAATTTGTACATTGAAGGTCATTCTGGTGAGGGTTCAGAAAAAAAAGAGGATAGCCACAGAGAAATCTCTGTCTTCTGAGAGATGTGCTTGAGGTCCTGAGCAGACCCTGCTACAAGAGGAATGTTCTGGGAGCCTCTGCTGAGGCCTTGGCCAGAAGTGAGGAGCATGTAGAGAGCTGGGTGATGAGCTAGATATTTAGCTAAGGGGTTTCTAAGCATAGTGTTGCAGACACAGCCTGATGGCTCCTCACTGCTCACAGTCAAATGTGTGAGGGCAGATGTAACAGAGGAGGGAGCTGTCACGAGGAGGAACCACAGACTAAGGAGGGGAGATTCTCAGCCTGCCCCCACGTGCTCTAGAAGCAGATTTGAGGGCCTGTCTGGGCACCTTTGTCACAGGATTAGACGTGTGACTGGCGGATCCCACCGACCATCCCCATAAGAGCCAGGAGTGGGGAGAGATTACCCAGTGGACATCTGTGCAGGACACGCTGGCCAGACCACTTGGCCCTAGAGAATCTCACAGGAGGGTGGCAAGGCTCTGGAGGGTCTGTAACCACAGAAAAGGTGCTGGCTGGGTTGGGGGCAGGAAGCAGAAAAAATGAAGCAAGACTGACTCTGAGGTCAGAGCTACAGATGAGGAGGCCATCAGGACATGGATACCAGCCTGAAAAGGGGGCCACTGCAGGAAGCCGGGAGGACAGAACACCCACCCTAGGCAGGGTCTTCAGCCTGGCATCTAATGGGATTCTCCCTGCTGGGTGTTGACGTGCTTGGGACCCGGGACTCCTTCTTTCCTCTCAATTCCTCCTTTGGAGAGGGGTGTCCACCCCACATACATTCCATCATTGCATCTCAGGGGTAGATAGCTAGTCTCACAGGTCCATAGACACAGAGGACTTTCACTGCACACCTGATTCTGGTGACATGGAGATGAAAGTCTGGCCTCACAGCTGAGGCTGGGATGGGTCAGGAAACTTCAGGTTGCTGGTGTGGATGAAGGTATTTTGTGTCGAGGAGAACTTGAGTTCAGGGGGTGGGAGGGTGGACTGTTACAGGCCGAGCTGTGTCCCTGAAGGTCCCTGTGCTGAATTCCTAACCCCTAGGGTGTCAGCAAGTGCCCTTATGTGGAAATCTGGCCTTTGCACATGACATCAAGATGGGATGGAGCTCTACAGGAGCAGGGTGGCCTGGCGTCTGCAGGGAAAAGGGACACTTGGACATGTACACAGCAGGGACAGTGCTGTGTGAAGACTAGGGGCCACCTCCGGGAGATAGTGGGGCCTGAGCCAGAATCTCCCTGTTCTCCAGCCTGATCTCCAGCTGAGAACAGCAAACGCATGCTGTCTTGGCCATGCAGTGTGTGTACTGTGTCACACCAGCTGTAGCTGTGGTCCTAAGCCAGCAGCCCTATGGCCTGCAGAGGCCTCCTGCCCAGCCCTTAGGGTATGTCCTGGCCGTGTCTGCCCCTCACTGTTCCCCTGGCCTGAGAGGTTGAGCCTGTAATGAGCCACTTAACCAAAGTGAAGCTAGAGCCCAGAAGGAGCCACTGGGAGCCCAGGGCTGCAGTGTGGAGCTCCCCTGGGGCCCAGCTGTATAGCTCCCATGCTCCCCTGGATACTCCCTCTGTGAAGGCCAGCTAAGGCAGCCAGGAGGTCATGAATCTGGCCATGACCTCATGGAGTCACATGCAGTGGGAGGGACAGGAGGCCCCAGACACCCCCATGACAGGTGCCCAGAGCTAACCTTCAGTACCCACAATGGCCTCCTCCTGGGACCCACACAGGAGCTATATCCCCAAGACACCATCCTGGACTAATCCTTTTGCCCTGCTCCTCTGCATTTTATCCACCACTCTCCACCTGCCCTCTGCCTTTCCCTGACCTTGCCTTTGGCCTGTGCCACCTGGCCCTCTCCACCACAGCCCTGTGAGCCCACACTCATGCCCTTGATTTCAACTACGTGCCCCATGGCCAGGTGTCCACCTGCTGGATGTCCCCACCTTGTCCCCTGGTGGCTGCTGTGGACTGTGTGCTTGTGCCCCAAAGTCACAGGTGGACATCCTTAGCCCACATGATGGCCCTGGGAGGAGGCCAGGGCAGTGTTTAGGTCTTATAAGGGGGACCACAGAGATCTGCTTAGCCCTATCCTCCTCTGAGCACATGGTGAGGAGATACCTCTGAACCAGGAAGGGGACTTTGCCACACCCAGAATCTGCTGTATCTGGGTCTCAGACCTCCAGATGCCAGAGCCACGAGAAACAAATGTCTGCTGTTTCAGCTCCCACCCTCACGGTCAGACACCCTAAGGCCTGAGTGTCTGTCTTGAGTCCAGATGGTGTTTGGGAGAGATGCTGAGACCTCTCTTGCCCTCCTGCCTGCCTCCCACAGGGCAGGGCCAGCCCCAGCCTCACTTATGTGGCCTTTCCTGGTGCCTCATCCCACCAGCCTGTGCTGAGATAGCCCCTCTCCCATGGCTCCCCCTGGAATCAGGGTCCCCCTAAAGATGTCCAGGTGGCATGAAGGGTTGGGAAAAGGAACAAAAGTCCTTCCCTAGAGAGCAGTGCCATGAGATAAAATACACATGTTTATTTTAGGGCAGCAAATGTGTGCAGGGCAGCACAGGCTTGGGCAGACCCTCACCCCACCCCACATTGGTGGGCACCTGGCTGGTCAGATGGAAGCCGCTTTTCGAGCTCAGAGCTGCAGGGCAGGATCTAAGCACAGCAGGGCACAGGATGGGATGCAGGTGCTCTGGGCTCGCAGCGGAGACCTTCTGGTCCGTCTCTTTGGTCTCTGACACTCTCTCACTGGGCAGTCATTTCACCTGAGGTGACAGAGACAGTATGGATAGTATTTCCCACTGTTGGGGCAGGAGTAGGGCCACGATGACCAGGCAGGAGGGCATCCAAGAGTCCCCAGGACTGATGTTCAGCACAGGCTGGGCCCTGTGCCATCATGCTCCCTGCAAGCAGCCTCCTCCAGCGTGGTGCCCCTGGGCTTCTCTACCTTGAACAAGGTGACAGTGGTGCTGTAGAAGAGGCTCAGCAGGAAGAGGACGATGAAGGTGGAGGCGGTGGTCCACAGACTCTCGAAGCCCTCCTCCTCAGCACTCACCTCTCCCTCTGCAAGGGGACAGAGGCAGGACTTAGGTTCAGATGTCCATAGCTGGGCCTGTGGAATGACCTTGGAGCAAAGTCAGCCTCCCAAGACCTGAGCAGGAGGAGCCATTGTCCTTCAAGCCTCCCTTGGCCACTTAGCTGTGTGGCACTAAGCATGGTAGATTAGGGGACAGTGGAAGGGAAGGAACAGAGAAAGGGGTGCTCACACTCTGTGTACATGGTGTGGGCTCTGTGTGTACCATTTGGGCCCTGTGTGCACTGTGTGGTCCCTGAGTGCACCATGTGGACCTCATGTGCAAGGAGTGGTTGCCATGTACAAGGTGTTGGTGCTGTGTGCACATTTTGGGTAGCCTGCCGATGTCTGTCCTTGGGTGCAGGAGCTCCAGGCTCAGTCTGCACAAGTCTAGAGCCAGCGGGGGCTGGGTCTCTAATAGCCTGATGCAGGGGGTGGGCTTGGGGTCAGGCTGAGCAGGGCAGTGACCCTGAAGTCTTATCCTAGGACCTCTGGAGAGGCAGAAGGACCATGAGAGACACAGCACATGGACAAATGGGTGGACAGGGAGTAGGCTTGGGAGCCCAGCAGAGTGGCAGCCAGTATGTCCTGGGCTTTTGTGGGGGAGGGGCAGCATGGCCAGGGCCACTTGGGCTGAGACATGGGAACAAGCCCTCCCATCCCTGTGGATTGGAATGGGCAGGCAGGATGCCTGGGCCTGAGTGGTGGCCCCTTACTTTTTCATTCTCATGTGAGGCTGTCCTGGTGGCTTGTCCTCCCTACCAGGACGATGGCCCTTGGGACTGAGTTAAACTGACAGCTGAGCTTCACAGAGGGATGAGGGCATTTGGGGGTCTGCAGCCCTGCACAGACAGGTTCTAGGGGGCATCTGGAGTTTAGGCTCTCAAGGGGCCAAGAGTGTGTGAGGGCCCAGGCAGCCCAGTGGGGATCAGTGCCATTTGTGGGGTGTGGAGACCTGGCTCAGGCTCCTGCCTTTGCTGCCTGCTGGGGCTGGGAAGCAGGGGGGTTTGCTGGGGCAGAAGGGTTCCGTGAATTTCCGAGGCTTCCTACTGAAAGAGGCAGCTGCCTGCACTCTGAGGCCAAAGTACAGATGTTGCAGCTTCTCAGGACACAGCCCAGACTCTGGCTCGGCTCACAGGTGTGTGCTGGGGGGCCTGGGCCTCCCTGAGGAGCTGCAGCTGGCTCAGCCCTGGCCTGGTCATAGTGGCCTTCATCAGAATCCAGGCTGGGCCTTCCAAGCTGAGACAGGAGGACAAGCAGCGCTTCGGGCAGGGAGCAGAACATGGGAGTGCAGAGTACCAGGCAGAGGCACCAAGTGACAGAGGGACGTGGGGCTGGTCTGTGCATGTGTGTGGCTCCTGTGTGCACGTGTGTGCCCGTGCATGTCTGTGTCATGTACTTGGCCTTGCATACATGTTCACATCTGTGTCTGTTGTACACCTGTGTCCATGTGTCAGTGCATGTGCATGTTTCTGCATGTGTCTTTGTGTGTGTGTCTGTGAGTGTTGTGTATGTGTGCTCACCACGTGCGAGTGCTACCTGATCCCAAGAGGCCCTGCCTTCTGATGTCTTTCTGGAAGCAGCAGGGGTGTGGGTGCGCCTGAGTTTGGCCAGCTGTGAGCACTTATCAGGCATGCGAGGGCTTCCTGAGGCTGCTCAGAGGTACCAGGTTGAGGCAGGGCAGGGGTTGTGGTGGAGGGTGGTCTGCAGGGTAGGCGTGGGGTGGGTGCAGCACAGCCCCAGCCCCAGCAGGTGAGAGGGTTGTGCACTCAGAACCAGTGAATTTTGAAAGGATATTTTTATTTCTAAGTTTTATAAGATGCCCATCTCACCCTGTTGACATGGTTAGTTTGCACACATGCACAGAGCAACTGGCCACCCAGAGCCTGGGCTGGTCGGTGGGCCAGAGGGGTCAATAGCAGGTGCTGGCAGTGTCAGACATGACCAGGGACACATTGTACAGGGTGGGTTTACCAGTGGACTTGTCCACGGTCCTCTCGGTGACCCTGTTGGGCAGGGCCTCATGGGCCACGACACAGGTGAAGGCCTCCCCTGAGTTCCAGTCCTCCTCGGTCACAGTCAGGAAGCTGTGGGCAAAGTAGAGGCCTGGAGCATGGGGCTCAGGCATCGAGGCGCTGGTCACATACTTGTCTGAGGCCACAGGCTGCCCCCTCTGCATCCACTGCACAAACACGTCTGCAGGGGAGAAGCCCTTCACCAGGCAGGTGATGGTGGCTGCCTCCCGCAAGTTTAGCTCTTCCCGGGCTGGAGGCAGCATGTAAACATCGGGCTTGTGCAGGGCCACATCTGTGGGGCAGAGATGGCATGAGTGTGGGGCGGGTGCAGGGGGTGTGGGGTCGGGGCATGAGGGGGATTGGGGCATGGGTAGGGGGTTCAGGGCACAGAGGGGGTTGGGAGCTCGAGGTGCTGAAAAGTTGGCTCAGGGACTTACTCTTGGGCTTGGAGATGCTCTGCTTTAGTGGTGAGGGCAGGTCCGTGTGGGCCACTGTGCACGTGAATCTCTCCCCTGAGTTCCAGTCGTCCTCACAGATGCTGGCCTCACCCATGACACTGAAGGTGGCATTGGGGTGGCTTTCAGAGATGTTGGTGTGGGTCTTCAGGGGCTCGCCATTCTGACGGGTCCAGGTGATGATGAGGCTATCATAGGTGGCCAGGTCTGTGACCAGGCAGGACAGCTTGGTCGACTTGCTGAGGAAGATGCTGGCAAATGAGGGAGGGATGGTGAAGACTTGGATGCTCGTGGCTGGACCTGCAGCTGAGAGAATGTTGGTCTGAGCAACTCCACAGATGTGGCTCCAGGTGGAGTTTTGGCTGGCCTTCCCTGGTGTCCCAGTGCAGGGGCCCTGCCCGCCTGCCCTGCCCTTGGCCACTCTGGGAAGTGAGGATCAGAGAGCAGACAGCATGCCGGGCAGCGCCGGTGAGACCCACAAGTACCTGTGTGTGTGTGTGTGTGTGTGTGTGTGTGTGTGAAGGGAGGTGGGCACTGCCCTGGGGAACAGGCCACTCACTGGTGCTGCACATGGAGGACACGTTCTTCAGGAAGGTCAGGCCTCTGTGATCCACGCGGCAGGTGAACACGTTCTGGTTCAGCCAGTCACTCTCATTGATGGTCAGTGTACTGGTGACCTTGAAGGTGGAGGGCCCAGACCCTTGGGCCTGAGCCTCCACTGGGCCCGTGGAGAAACCAGACTCCAGCCGCTTTCCATCGTGCAGCCAGGACACTTTGACCTGACGGGGGCTGAAGTCTGTGGCCTGGCAGATGAGCCTGGACCTGCGGGGGCTGGTGCTGGAGAAAGCGTCGCGGGGTGGGATGAACACAGTCACGGTGGGGGGCTGCTCCAGCATCACTGTAGTGAGGGGACATGGTGTCAGCCTACCGGCTCCCTCCTGCCCTGGCCAAGCTGGCCTCTGCCATGGGGGTATCGGTTACCAGTGTGGGGGTGGGGGGCTGCCAGCTCTCACCTGGAAGAGGCACGTTCACATTCTTTTTGACTTTGTTGTGCTCCACCTGGCACACCAGGTGGTTGTCTGTGCCCAGTAGGACGTCTTTGGAGGGCAGCAGCACCTGCGAGGTGGCCGTGTACTTGCCCTCCCTCAGGATATCTGGAAAGCTCCTGAAGCTACTGATGACAGATGAGTTCTTGTAGTTCCAGGAGAAGGTGACGCCACCGGGTAGGAAGTCCCGGGCCAGGCAGCCCAGCACCACAGTGCTCGTGTCTAGGGGGGAGTTCTCACAGGAGACCAGGGGGAACAGCGCTGGGGGGCTTGCAGTCCCTGAGGACCCAGGAGACAAAGAGAAAGGGTTGAGGAGCTGTGTCCTTGGGCCTGGCCAGGCAGGGGTCTCTGTGTACCCACCCCTGGGGCTGTGGGGGACTATCCTCCTCTAGGCTGTGCTGGCCTTGGTGGCCCCTCAAAGGCCTGGGTGATGGGGTGAAGTGAGGCCTTGGGCCTCCCTACAATGCTGCTGGGGGGCAGGGAGGCCACCTGAGCACTGACCTGCTGCAGAACATGGCACCCAGTGCAGGGAATGCCTGGGGGCTCTAGGATGGGCAGAGGAAGCAGCCCTGGCCCTTGCTGCTGGCCCTGGGCCAGCCCTGCCCTCCTTCTATGGTGTTGAAGCCTCTGTATTGGCACAGTCAGCTCCCAGCACCGTGGGGCCTAAGTGGAGGGAACATTCCCCCCAGCCAGCTACCCAGGCTAGTCTTAGTCCAGTCCACTAAATCCCCTGAATAGGTACATTAAGCCCGACTGAGGTTAGTGAGGATGGGTATGAAGAGGACCCAATGCAGTTAGGTTAGCTGATGCCCACGTCCATCTGGATCACCAGAAAAAGCCAGCACAGACTAGAGGAGGATAGTCCCCCACAGCCAGCAGGTGCCAGCTGAGAACATTCCAGCCCAAAGCAGCTCAATGATTGTACTTTGATCAAAACAAAACAGCAAGATCAGCCCTGTGAGATCAAGCTCACCTTAGAATAAGAAAGGGAAATAAACCACCAAACAAGGCCAGGATAGAAGAGCCCAGCTCAGTCCAGTTCAGCCCAGCCCAGTTTATCCCAGTTTAGCCCAGCCCAGCTCAGCCCAGCCCAGCTTAGTCCAACTCAGCTCAGTTCTGCTAAGCCCATCTCAGCCAAGCCAAGTCCACCTCAGCTCAGCTCAGCTCAGCTCAACTCAGCTCAGCCCAGCACACCTCAGCTCAGCTCAGCTCAGCTCAGCCTAGCTCATCCCAGCTCAGGGCAGCTTAGCCCAGCTCAGTTCACTTCAGCCCAGCTCAGCCTAGCCAAACTCAACTTAGCCCAGCCCAGGTCAGCTCAGGTCAGCTTAGCTCAGCCTAGTTCTGCTGAGCCCAGCTCAGCTCAGCTCACCTCAGCTCAGCTCATTCCAGCCCAGCTCAACCGAGCTCAGCTCAGCTCAGCTCAGCTCAGCCTAGCCCAAGCCCATCCCAGCCCAGTTTAGCCTAGCACAACACTGCTCAGCCTAGCCCAGTTCAGCCCAGCCCAGCTCAGCTCAGCTCAGCTCAGCTCAGCCCAGCCCAACTCAACCCAGCTCAGCTCAACTCAGCTCAGCCTAGCCCATCCAGCCCAGGTTAGCCCAGCACAGCACTGCTCAATATAGCCCAGTTCAGTCTAGCCCAGCCCAGCCCAGCCCAGCCCAGCTTAGCTCAGCCCAGCCCAGCCCAGCTCAACCCAGCTCAGCTTAGCTCAGCTCATCCCAGCCCAGCCCAACCCAGCTCAGCTCATCCCAGCCCAGCCCAGCCCAGCCCAGCTCAACCCAGCTCAGCTCAGCTCATCTCAGCTCAGCCTAGCCCAAGCCCATCCCAGCCCAGCTTAGTCCAGCACAGCACTGCTCAGCCTAGCCCAGTTCAGCCAAGCCCAGGTCAGCCCAGCCCCGGACAACCAAGCTTAGCTTAGCTCAGCTCAGCTCAGCCCAAGCCCACCCCAGCCGAGGTTAGCCCAGCACAGCATTGCTCAACCTAGCCCAGTTAGTCCAGCACAGTTCAGCCCAGCCCAGTTCAGCCCAGACCAGCTCAGCTCAGCCCAGCCCAGCTCAGCTCAACCCAGCCTAGCTCACCTCAGTCCAGTTTAGCCCAACCCAGCTCAGCTCAGTTCAGCTCATCCCAAGCCCATCCCAGCCCAAGTTAGTCCTAGGTCAGCCCAGCTCAGCTCAGCCTAGCTTAGTTCAGCCCAACCTACCTCATTTCAGCTCAGCTCAGCTCAACCCGGCCAAGCTCAGCTCAGCTCAACCCAGCCAAGCTCAGTTCAGCCCAGCTCAGGCCAAGCCCATTTCATCCCAGTTTAGCCTAGCACAGCACTGTTCAGTCTAGTCCGATTCAGCCCAGCCTAACCTAGCTCAGCCTAGCTCAGCCCAGCCCAGCTCAACTTAGCCCAGCCCAGCTCAGGTCAGCCCAGCTCAGCTCAGCCCAGCTCAGCCCAGCTCAGCTCAGCTCAGCTCAGCCCAGCTCAGCCTAGCTGAGTTCAGCCCAGCCCAGCTCAGCCCAGCCCAGCTCAGCCCAGCTCAGCTCAGCCCAGCTCAGCCCAGCTTAGCCCAGCTTAGCTCAGCCCAGCTCAGACCAGCTTAGCTCAGCTCAGCTTGGCCCAGCTCAGCCCAGCTTGGCTCAAACCAGCTCAACCCAGCTCAACCCAGCTCAGTCCAGCTCGGCTCAACCCAGCTCAACCCAGTTCAGCTCAACCCAGCTCACCCTAGCTCAGGTCAGCTCAACCCAGCTCAGCCAAGCCCAGCTCAGCCCAGCTCAGCCCAGCTCAGCCCAGCCCAGCTCAGGTCAACCCAGCTCAGCCCAGCTCAGCCCAGCTCAGCTCAGCTCAACCCAGCTCAGCCCAGCTCAGTCCAGCTTGGCTCAACCCAGCTCAGCCCAGCTCAGTCCAGCTCAGCTCAACCCAGCTCAGCCCAGCTCAGTCCAGCTTGGCTCAACCTACCTCAGCCCAGCTCAGTCCAGCTTAGCTCAACCCAGCTCAACCCAGCTCAGTCCAGCTCGGCTCAACCCAGCTCAACTCAGCTCAGCCCAGCTCAGCTCAACCCAGCTCACCCTAGCTCAGGTCAGCTCAATCCAGCTCAGCCAAGCCCAGCCCAGCCCAGCTGAGCCCAGCTGAGCCCAGCTCAGCTTAACCCACCTCAGCTCAACCCAGATCAGCCCAGCTCAGCCCAGCGCAGCCCAGCTCAGCTTAACCCACCTCAGCTCAACCCAGCTCAGCCCACCTCAGCCCAGCTCAGCCCAGCTCAGCTCAACCCACCTCAGCTCAACCCAGCTCAGCCCACCTCAGCCAAGTTCGGCTCAGTCCAGCTCAATCCAGTTCATCCCAGCTCAGCTCAACCTGGCTCAGCCCAACTCAGCTCAGCCCAGTTCAGCCCAGCTCAGCTGAGGTTAGCTCAACCCAGCTCAACCCAGCTCAGCCCAGCCCAGCCCAGCTCACCTTAGCCCATAGCACTTCAACTCAGCCCACCTCAATCCAGCTCAGCCCAGCTCAGCTCAGCCCAGCTCGGCTCAATCCAGTGCAACCCAGCTCAGCCAAGCTTAGCTCAAATCACCTCAGCCTAGCTCTTCCCAGTCCAGCTCACCTTAGCCCAGCTCAGCTCAGCCCAGCTCAACTCACCCTGGTTCAGCCTAGCTCAGCTCAGCTCTGTCAGGCTCAGCCCTGTTAATCCAGGTAGCTCTATCCATCCCGACTAGTTTCTGAACTCTAGGTAGAATTGCTTGAAAGGGTCAAGGCAGCAGACCCTCTTGCCTGGCCACCATACATCCATCATTTTGGAAGGCCTGAGCTACTTTCTAGGATGAAGTAATGATCTAAAATTCAAAGTTGCATTTTTAACATAAGTAAGGACAGTGCAGGCCCTGCTCTCCCCATGTTC